GATGGGAGTGGTTGAAGGAGACATTATCAAAAAATTGAGGTCACATGCCATGAACCTGTCAAAGGATAAGACTAAATAAGGAATTTGAATTTGATCTTGTTTGGAAACAGAACCCTATAGAAAATGTGGGGAAAAGCTGGTGATATAAAAAAAAATAAAAATAAAGTATGTTTTAGAAAGAGTCACTTGGCAATAGTGTGCTGGCTTAATTGAAGTTTGAAGAGAAGAAAAGCTGAAGATAAGAGGCCAGATAGAGTGGTTGCCTACTGTGGGTGTAAGGTCTGGTGGTAGAAAGGCAAGGAAGGACCATGTAAATTGTTGATTGATTGAGCGTGGGAAACCTCTGAGGGGTATGAAGCAGAAAGAAAGAGGAGTCCAGAAAGGAGCTGGTCTGAGAGGCAAGACCCCAAGTTTTATCTTAGACATGTTTAGTTTCAAGTGATGCCTGGATAATTTAAGTGAATATATTTAACCCTCAGTTGGGGACAGATTGGCATGGAAAAGAAATATACCTCTTTAGTATGTTATTTGAAAACATGTGCACTTTCCAACAACTGTTCATTCTTCCAAACCATTCTATTCTGGTTATTAAACTATAATAGAAATCTTCATCAATGAAAGAGCCTGGAAATCATACAATGACTACACTAATCTATAATTTAGTAAACTTGGATTCTAACCTTGTCTCTACCTTGAACCATGAGGCCTAAGGTAAGTCATCTACCTTCTCACTATATCGGGACTAATTTCCTCATTTGGACAATGAAAGAATTAGACCAGTCTCTTCCAGCATGAAACTGCCTTGATTCCATAAGCAGGAAGGGCTGCCATTGTTATGCTTCTCAAGTCCTGCTAATTTGGAACATGATACCAGTATTAGTTTTCCACTGAAATTGTTAACAAATTCTCCCAAACTTGGGACTCAGCAGAAATGTTTTTTTTTTTTTTTTTTTTAAGTCAGGTAGATCAGAAATTCAACATGGGTCTCACTGTGCTAAAATCAACGTTTTGAAGGCTGGGTTTCATCTGGAGGCTCTTGGGGAAAACCATTTTCTGGCCCTTGACAGTTTCTAGAGGCCCCCCGTATTCCTTGGCTCATGGTTGCTTTCTTCCACCTTCAAAGTCAGTATTGACAGACCTAGGCCTTCTCACATCACCTCACTTGGACCCTCTCTTCTGTTTCCCTCTTCCACTTTAACAACTCTTGTGATTACATGGGGCCCGCTGTGTAGTCCAGCATAACTTCCCTATCTCAAGGTCCTTAACATTACCCGACCTGCAGTGTCCATTTTGCTATGTGAAGTGATATGCATATCATAGTTTTAGGAATTGCGATGCGGACATCTTGGGGGAGCATTATTTTGCCTACCAAGATACCTTTTTCCTGAGAAAACAGGACACCATCTTAAGTTCTTCTTCTATTCCTTTCGCTTCATATAATATTGAAATCCTATCCAGACTTTTTACTGTGCCATATAAATATATATTTCAATAATTTTTAATCTCTCAAAGTTTCAAATATGGCAGTGATTGTTACCAAGGTATATGTTGAATAATTTTTAAAAATTTCTTAATCTTGCCATTCAAAAAACATAAAACTTACCAGAAAATAATATTGTAATTTAAAGTAGAAAATTTTTCTTTAAATATGGAGAGAATATAATCATGTGTTTGCTTTAGAAAATAATGCGAATATTAATAAGTGAAAAAGTAAACTGTATTATAGCATTTTACTTTTTAAAGCTTTTTGCTAAAATGATATTTTTTCAAAGTAAAAGCATATCTAATCTTAGACCAACTCCTTTTTTTATTCACTGACCTTGGCTTGACAGAAAGGATATGACATTGAGTGTTTTGATTTCTATCTATAAACAATGACAAAAGCAGTATTTGTCTTTGACAGAATCATGAGGTTTTGTTAATTGAGATTTGTGAAAAGAGGTCCTCTAGAAGGGGAAGTGTCTTTATTCCTTTGTAACATGCACATTTCAAAGTACCAGTAGAAACAGTTGCAATAATGCCACAAATAGAAATACAAATTTAAAAAGGCAGCAAGTGGTAAGGTGGTACAAGAATTTCATTGTCATGCAAACATTATTAGAGATGATGTATCTAGATGGAAAAGTGTATTACCAAGGAATTATGCCGAGTTGTTTTTCTCAGTTAAATTTCCAGAAAACAATTCAGAGTCCTGAAAAATATTGTATAAGAAATAGAAATTATCAAGTTAGAGAATAATCACCCTCAAAGCTTCATGTTCACTATAAAACTAACAATGGGCCTTTTGTTAAATAGACCCTTAAAAATCTCACCAAAATATTCATTTTATTCTAATTAACTAAACAATGTTTCCCTCAAGAAGGGGAAAGAGGGACACAGACACTTTGCATTCCTGCTTGCAACAAGAGCCAATCTAAACTCTGCCCATGCAATGTCTTAATGAGACAAGGGAAATGGCTAAAACCACACTGGAAATAGAAAATGCCTTTAATACTTTCTTCACCTCATGAAGAAACTGGACAAAACAAATCAGATGTCCCATTTGTTTCCTTGGTTTCCATTTGTTTCTTTCTCTAACTTCCTCCTCTTGGTTCCTGGCTCTATTAATTGTTCGGGTTTCTTAAATGGGAGCCGAGGAAAATGTATGTAGCATGGTTTATTTTCAATAGTTATTTAATTCTAGCTGAGATATGTTGCAGAAGTAGGCAGGATGAACTGGTTGGGTGAGATGATTGTCTAATGTAAGGAAAAGGAAAGACCACATTTAGCTTCTGTCTTTTTTCATTTGTTATCCAACCATAATTTCATCACTTAATCATTATAATCTAGTTAGGGAATCAATATTATATCTTACGGAGTAGATTCAAAATATTATATGTGTCTGTTATTCAAAAATACTTATGAAATCTTTTTACTTCTGGACTAATGTATTTATTGTTTATATCCCATGATCTAATATTTTATGATCTATTTATAGTTTATATTGTATTGTTTCCCCAATACAACATGCACATTCTTGAATTTTTGTTCACTGTCCCAGAAATGTCCTTTTGCCTTCTCCCAGGCAGACACATTCCAGTCAACCTTCAAAACCCAGCTCTCTTTTTTCTTGTATTATGAAACCTTGCATAATATGTAGCCTATGGTGTCTCCTTTTTCTGCATTCATATAGAACCTATCTTTCGGCTGAGCCATATGTTTCTATTTGTGTGTGTGTGTGTGTGTGTTTGAGATTATGGTCTTTCCAACTAGATGGTAAGAAGATTCTTAGAGGCAGGGATTGTTTGCCGTACATCTTTGTAACCTGATACTTTGCCTAATGTTATGCAGATTTTAGGTTACTTATAATTTGTCAGGACTCTTGGTTGCCAGTTGAAGAAACCCAACTGATATACCAACTTAAGCAATGAAGAAGGTGCGGGGATGAATCTAGCTGAAGATTTTGTCATATCTAAATTAGGTTTCCAAATTTATCATTAGAAATCTGTCCATTATTTATCATCTCTGCATTCCTTTGTTTTGGCTTTGTTTTCCAGTAGCAGCTGCCTAAATTGTGCCTTTTGGGAGTAAAGGGAGAGCTTCCTTCTCTCAGTAGATGCAGAGAAAGTTCTGAGGCTGATGCTCATTGGCTCCCTTGGACTGTCTCACATTATGTGCTTACCCCAGACTAATAATCACCATTGTCAAAGGGAAGCAATTGACTCATTGCCTTGGCCTGAGTTACTGGTCCTGTAATGAACCAGGGAGTGAGAACAGTTGCTCTCTCATTCCCCTAACATAGGCATTAAGATTGGAGGAGGGGTAGTTGCCCAAAGGAAAAACAGGGCTTTTGTGCCAACACAATGGGAAATGGATGCCAGATAGGAAAAACCAAGATGTCCACTGAGGAATTCAGTACCTGTTTTCTGATTGATGAACTAAACATCTTTGTAGGAAAGAAGACAGGTTTGTAGATATTCTGTACCAATTTTCACCTTCATCCAAAATATTTTACAGTTAGGATAGTGCTGTGTGTCCTCTAGGTGCTTCACAGCCACTGTTGGAGGTGGATGTGAGGGGATTTGATTTATGACTTTGGCTCCCTCCTGATATATCACTAGGGTTAGAAAGCTGTTACTCAAGGGTAGATTAACAACTGTGCTTACTTGTTTGACCCTTTCAATAGGATCTCTGAGTTCTTTTGTGGAAGAGTGAACAGAACCACAATCGGTCTCTCATTGTGAGTTGTGATGGTGTTGGCCAAATGGCTTCATGATAAAACTAGGTAGCATTATCAACTAATAATATTTCCCAGTTACCAGTTGTGAGACTCTTGGATTCTCTCACTGAGAGCTGTGTTGATTTCAGAAGATTATAAAACATAGAAATGTTAAGCTTTCAAAGTTACCATTATTTGAAACATAAATTGTCAATACATGTAAACTAAATTGGCTAATAGGGTTTTTGATTGCTTATTTTGTACACTGAGAAGTAAGATCAGAGATATTTGAAGTACAAAAATTTAATTCATGTATTAGGGAACTTGCATGAGACCCAGCCAGTGAATATCTTAATGAATAGTGCAGACAGTAAACAAAGAATTTTAGGAAGACGAATTTCCATGGGAACTGCATGCTGGGCAGGTAAAACCAAGATGCCCTTTAGGAAGTTCAGTAAATATTTGCTGATTGATCAATTTAATACACCTGAAGGACAAAAGTCAGGTTCATGTAGATTCTGTATCATTTCTAACACTTTATGGTTAGACTACATAATGATATGTTTGAATAAAAGCACACATAGTCTTCCATCATTCGAGTTTTGTTTAGCATTTGAGTTTGACTTTCTTAGCTAGTTAAGTTTGTGTTTTTATGTGTGAGAAAAGAGCAACTCAAGCATAAATCGGATAGTGTGTCCTTTAAAAATCAATGTTCTGAAACCTCTGAGAAAGCGAATATTTATTTTAATGAAAAATATTTATTGAACACTGCCTTAGTTTTATTTTTAATCTTTACTTTTAGGACTGGAAGATAAGCAAGAACCTGCAGCTGGTGCCTGTCCAAGTATTAGTTTGTTCTTACAAATGTTTTACTCAGCGTGACCCTAACCTCTTTGGAATTGCTCGGGTGTAGAACAGGTGAGGTGCTCATTCACAGCCTCACTCAGCTTGCCCTGTCAGCTCTGCATACACAGTCAGATTATGCCCTACTTAGGATACCATGCTGTGTCTGTTCCCTTCGACAACATTAAATAAAGGAGGAAAAATAATTCTATTATAATGTTCCCAGTTTAATTACTATAGTCTGCCTTTAGCTTGTTTAGATTCTAGTTGTGCTTTTTTTTTGGCTTAAAAATTAAAAATTAAAAAAGGAAAAATAAGATTTGTGTGGCAAGTTAGTTATTTCTTCCTACTGTTTTATGACCACCACTCCCCTTTTTCTAGATGAGTATTGAGAGACTTTGATGGGGAAAAGTATTTATTTTATGAATGTTATGCCATTGAAGAGGAATCACTGTTTAGTGCTAGATAATCATATTACATTTATGTGATTTCATTTGAGGCACTAATATCTATTGACCTTCATACAAAAATTGAGAAGAAACCTGAAAAGTCAGGTTTGGTAACTCCTAATATCACTTTGTGACTGTTTTTAATTTTTTTTCTCTTTTTAAAACAATTTTTTACATGATAAACTGTCGAGGCAGTAATACTGAAATGATAATTTGGCTCAGTTTCTTTTAAGGACAACAGAAAAGTAGAAAAATAAGTTATGAAAATATATGGTACACTTTGCACAGACCAGTAGTTCTTGGAAGTGTGTTCTATTCAGCACCATCCACATCAATTGAGAACATGTTAGACATAAAAATTATCTGGCCACACCCCAGAACCACTGAATTAGAAACTTTGAGAGTGTGGCCCAGCAATCACTATTTTAACAAACCCTCTACATGATCTCTTTGAATGCTCAAGTTTGAGAACCACAGGATAGACTCAGACAAAGCTGTTGCATGTTCAGAAAAGTAAGAAATGTGATTATAATTTTATATTTAAACCCCACCAGAAATCTATTTCTTCTTGTCACTACCTGTGATTTTTCTGGTGGAAAGCTGAGTGGAGTCTTATCTTCCAGGTAGTTATTATCAGGTTACCTTCCTAGCAAGGCCTTTTATGAGTTTAGTGCAGGTTCTTTATGCATCAGAGTTGCCTCTGGCATAACTGAGAAATAAAATCAATGGAGCACAGCAAAGAGATCCTCAACTCCAGAGAGAAAGTTCAGGCCCTACTGAGACAGAGATGGGGCCTCAAGGTAACTTTCTAAAGGTTCCATTAAACAAGAATACATTTTTAACAAAAATAAAAAACCAAGTACAAATGAAAGACATAGGAGCTCATAAAAAATGTATTACAGGGGTAAAGTATGTATGCTTATTGAGGGAAAATTGCTCAGTAAATTGATTTTGATTAGGAAAATAATTTCTTATAACCTATGCTGTAGAAAAAGTATTTTCACTTTTTTTCTTTATTCCTTCGAAAACAAAAAAAACCCAGGATACATGTGCAGAACATGCAGGTTTGTTACATAGGTATATGTGTACCATGGTGGTTTCCTGCACCTGTGGATCCATCCTCTAAGTTCCCTCCCCTCATCCTCTATCCCCAATAGGCCCTGGTGTGTAATGTTCCCTTCTCTGTGTTTGCATGTTCTCAATGTTCAACTCCCACTTATGAGTGAGAACATGTGGTGTTTGGTTTTCTGTTCCTGTGTTAGTTTGCTGAGAATGATGGTTTCAAGCTTCATCCATGTCCCTTCAGAGGACATGATCTTATTCATTTTACAGCTGCATAGTATTCCATGGTGTGTATGTGCCACATTTTCTTTAACCAGTCTATCACCGATGGGCATTTTGGTTGGTTCCATGTCTTTGCTATTGTAAATAGTGCTGCAATAAACATACCTGTGCATGTGTCTTTATAGTAAAGTGATTTGTATTCCTTCGGGTATATACCCAGTAATGGGATTTCTGGGTTAGATGGTATTTCAGGTTCTAGATCCAAGAGGAATCACCACACTGTCTTCCACAGTGGTTGAACGAACTTACTTTCTCACTAACAGTGTAAAAGCATTCCGATTTCTCCAGAGCCTTGCCAGCATCTATTATTTCCTGACTTTTTAATAATTGCCATTCTAAGTGGCGTGAGATGGTATCTCATTGGGGTTTTGGTTTGCATTTGTCTGATAATCACTGACGCTGAGCTTTTCTTCATATGTTTATTGGCCACATAAATGTCTTATTTTAAGTGTCTGTTCATATCCTTTGCCCACTTTCTGATGGATTGTTGGTCTTTTTCTTGTAAATTTGTTTAACTTCCTTGTAAATTCTGGATATTAGCCCTTTGTGAGATGGATAGATGGCAAAAATTACTAATCATTCTGTAGGTTGCCTGTTTACTCTGATAATAGTTACTTTTACTGTGCAGAAGCTCTTTAGCTTAGTTAGATCCTGTTTGTGAATTTTGGCTTTTGTTGCACTTGTTTTTGGTGTTTTAGTTATGAAGTCCTTGCCCATGCTTATGTTCTGAATTGTACTGGGTCGGCCTTTTTCTAAGGTTTTTATGGTTTGGGGTTTTACATTTAGTTTTTAATTTATGTTGAGTTAATTTTTGTATAAGGTGTGAGGAAGGGGTTCGGTTTCAGTTTTCTGCATATGGCTACCCAGTTTTCCCAGCTACTTACTGAATAAGAGATCTCACCCCATTGCTTGTTTTTGTCAGGTTTGGTGAAGACCAGATGGTTGTAGATTTGTGGTCTTATTTCTGAGGCCTCTGTTCTGCTCCAGTGTTCTATATGCCTGTTTTAGTACCAGTACCATGCTGTTTTGATAACTGTAGACTTGTAGTATTGTTTGAAGTCAGGTAGCGTGATGTCTGTAGCTTTGATCTTTTTGCTTAAGATTGTCTTAGCTGTATAGGGTCCTCTGTGATTCCATATGAAATTAAATTTTTTTTCTAATTCTGTGAAAAATGTCAATGGTAGTTTGATGGGAATAGCATCAAATCTATAAATGACTTTGGGTAGTATGGCCATTTTCATGATTTTGATTCTTCCTGTTCATGAGGATGGAATGTTTTTCCATTGTTTGTGTCCTCTCTTTTTTCCTTGAACAGTGGTTTGTAGTTCTCCTTGAAGAGGCCCTTCATGTCCCTTGTAAGTTGTATTCCTAGGTTATATTATTCTCTTTGCAGCAATTGTGAATGGGAATTCACTCATGATTTGGCTCTCTGCTTGTCTATTATTGGTGTATAGGAATGCTTGTGATTTTTGCACATTGTTTTGTATCCTGAGACTTTCTTGAAGTTGCTTGTCAGTTCAAGAAATTTTTGGGCTGAGATGATGGGGTTTTCTAAATATAAAATCATGTCATCTGCCAACAGAGACAACTTGAGACAAATTCTTCTGCCAACAGAGACAGATTCCTCTCTTCCTAGAATACCCTTTCTTTCTTTCTTTCTCTTTCTTTTCTTTTCTTTCTTTTTTCTTGATTGCCCTTGTCAGAACTTCTAATACTATGTTGAATAAGAGGGGTGAGAGAGGGCATCCTGTCTTGTACCAAAAAGGGAATGCTTCCAGCTTTTGCTTATTCAATATAATAATTTGCTGTGGGTTTGTCATAAATAGCTCTTATTATTTTGAGATATGTTTCATGAATATCTAGTTTATTGAGAGTTTTTAACAAGAAGGGATGTTGAATTTTATTAAAGGCCTTTTCTGCATCTATTGAGATAATCGTGTTTTTTTTTGTCATTGGTTCTGTTTATGTGATGGATTATGTTTATTGATTTGCATATGTTGAACCAGCCTAGCATCCCAGGGATGAAGCTGACTTAATCATGGTGGATAAGTTTTTTGATGTGCTGCTGGATTCAGTTTGCCAGTATATTATTGATGATTTTCGCATCAGTGTTCATCAGGGATATTGCTGACGTTTTCTTTTTTTGTTGTGTCCCTTCCCGGTTTTGGTATCAAAATGGCTTTATAAAATGAGGGAGGATTTCCTCCTTTTCAATTGTTTGGAATAGTTTCAGAAAGAATGGTACCAGCTCCTCTTTGTATTTCTGGTAGAATTCAGCTGTGAATCCATTTGGTCATGGACTTTTTTTGGTTGGTAGGCTCTTAATTACTGCTTCAATTTCAGAGCTTGTTATTGGTCTATTCAGGGATTCAGCTTCTTTCTGGTTTAGTCTTGGTAGGGTGTATATATCCAGGAATTTATCCATTTCTTATAGATTTTCTATTTTATTTGTGTAGAGGTGTTTATAATATTCTATAATGATAGTTTGTATTTCTGTGGGGTCAGTGGTGATATCCCCTTTTTCATTTTTATTGTGTATATTTGATTCTTTTCTGTCTTCTTCTTTATTAATCTAGCTAGTGGTCTATCTGCTTTTTTAATTCTTTCAAAAAATCAGCTCCTGGATTCATTGATTTTTTTGAAGCATTTTTCATGTCTCTATCTCTTTCAATTCTTCTCTGATCTTAGTTATTTCTTGTCTTCTACTAGCTTTCAAATTAGTTTGCTTTTGCCTCTCTAGCTCTTTTAATTGTGCTGTTAGGGTGCCAATTTGAGATCTTTCTAGCTTTCTGATGTGGGAAGTTAGTGCTATAATTTTCCCTCTTAACACTGCTTTAGCTATGTTCCAGAGATTCTGGTACATTGTCTCCTTATTCTCATTGGCTTTAAAGAACTGATGGGCTTCCCTTTGTAAGGTGACCCGGACTTTCTCTCTGGCTGCCCTTAACAGTTTTTCCTTTGACCTTGGAGAATCTGATGATTACATGTCTTGGGGTTAATCTTTTCATGGAGTACCTCAATGGTGTTCTCTGTATTTCCTGAATTTACACATTGCCCTGTGTTGCTAGGTTGGGGAAGTTCTCCTGGATAATATATAAGTGTGTTTTCCAGCTTGTTTCCATTCTCCCCGTCTCCTTCCAGTACTCAAATCAATCATAGGTTTGGTGTTTTTATGAAGTCTCATATTTCTTGAAGGCTTTATTCATTCCTTTTTATTCTTTTTTCTCTATTCTTGCTTGCATGTGTTATATTAGTAAGGTGGTCTTCAAACTCTGACATCCTTTCTTCTGCTTGGTCGATTTGGCTATTGGTAGTTATGTATGCTTCAAGAAGTTCTTGTGTTGTGTATTTTAGCTCCATCAGGTTGTTTATGTTCCTCTCTAAACTGGCTATTCTAGTTAGTAATTCCTATAACCTTTTATCAAGGTTCTTAGCTTCTTTGTAATGAGTTAGAACATGCTTCTTTAGCTCATTTTAGTTTTTTATTACCCATCTTTTGAAGCCTACTTTTGTCAGTTCATCCATCTGATCCTCAGTCCAGTTCTGTGCCCTTGATGGAGAGACATTGCAATCATTTGGAGGAGAAGAGGCACTCTGGCCTTTGAGTTTTCAGCATTTTTTCATTGATTTTCATCTTTGTGAGTTTGTCTAGCTTCAGTTTTGAACCTGCTGACTCTTGGATGGGGTTTTTGTGGGGGACTTATTGTTGTTGTTAATGCTGCTGTTGTCACTTTCTGCTTGTTTGTTGTTCTTTCAATAGTCAAGTCTCTCTTCTGTAGAGCTGCTGCAGTTGACTGGGGGTTAACTTCAGGCCCTATTTATCTGATTCACTCCCATGCCTGGAAAGGTCACTGAAGGAGGCTGGAGAGAACCAAAGGTGGGTGCCTACTCCTTTTTCTGGGACCTCTGACCTCGAGGGTCACCAACCCCTGATGCCAGTAGGATTGTTCCTGTATAGCATGTCTGACAACTCCTGTTGGAGGGTCTCACCCAGTTTGGTGGCACTGGGAGCAGGACCCATTTAACAACGTACTTTGTCCCTTGGTGCAGAGGGTGTGTTTTGATGGGGGGAAACCCACTCATTTAGTTTGTCCAGATTCCTCCGAACTGCCATGAGGAGAGGCTAAGTCTGCTGGTCATTAGAGACAGCAACCACCCCTCTCTCAAGGGGCTCAGGCCCAGGAAGATCTGAGCCTCTGGCTGGAGGTACTGAAGATCCTGCATGGAAGCCCCGCCCACTGAGGAATGATGGGTCAGGGTTAGCCCTGAAGAGGCATTCTGACCACAGACTGCCACAGCCCCACAGCCAGTGGGTTGGACTGTGGGGACAAGCCTTGGGACCAAGCCACCCAGCCTCCCTGGCTCCAGAAGGAAAAAAGCTCAAGCTGGAGCTATAGAAATGGGTGCCACTCTTCCCCAACCTAGGGAGCTTAGCATGTTAGGCAGTTGTGAGTCCCAGCGCTGACTGCTGCTCCTCCCCCAAGGAGCTAAAACGGCTTAGACAGCAGGCAGTGGCAGCAGGTACTGGTTGCTCCTCTTCCTGGGAGTTGTTAGGCTTAAACAGATTCCAGCTGTGAGGTTATAAGAATCTTCTCGTTCCAGGGTTGGGACCCTAGGCTCCTGTGGCATGGGTTTGTGAGTGGGATCTTCAAATCTGTGAGTTGCACAGTTCCATGGAAAAAGCACAGTCTCCCTGGCTGAGTAGCACACTCACTCACTGCCTCCCTTCTCTGGGGGAATGGGATTCCCTTTCCCTGTGTGGCTCTCAGGTGGGCTGCTGCACAAACTGCTCTCTTCCTTCTCTCTGTGGGTCCTCCCAGCCTTCTGGTCAATTTTGATGAGAGAATCTGGATACCTTCATTGCCAGTGAAGGATTCACATGCCTTTTATTTTTTATTTTTTTTGACGGGAGCCCTCTGAACCATGCTGCTTCTAGTAAGCCACCTCCCAGAAAAGTGTTTTGTTTACTATTTTAACCCCATGATCTCAGCTACAATGTATGTGCCATCTTGGTCTAGAACAGAAAATTTTATCCATATATTTATCTCAGGTGATGCAAAAGAAAATATTGGCTCCTAATTTCTCCTTTCTACTCCTATCCTTGTTGTATTCCAAGGTACCGCAACCTGGTTTCTGCCCCGCCATGCCATGGCAACTGGCCTTTCAGAAGTCATCAGTGACTTACCCTCAGTCCAGCTGCTCCTCCTCTGGCTGGTAGTCCATGAAGGGTTGGGCTAGATTGGCTGCTTCTGCCTCTTGGAACTATATGCCTGAGGTCCAGTCCTTTACCCCATCCCTTTAATTGAATCTTCTATATATACCTCCAAACCATGTGTTGAGGGAAATAAAAAATAAATGATGGGCCAACAATAGAATGACAAGTACTTTGGTGAGAAGTAAAAGATGATCCAGAAAATAGAGAATTGTGGGAGTACTTTTTATATAGGGCCTGAATCCGATAAGGTAATATTTGATCGGCGATCTGAAGCAAGTGAATGAGTGACTCCTACAGATATAATGAATAGGAACCAGTTGAATATTTGAAAAGCTAAAAGCCCAGGCTAAATGCATGCTAAAATAAATCCATGACTATGATGGCCAGAAATTTAGTGTTATGGGTTGCATGGTCATGTATCGAGTGTCACCATGGTAACCAGACTCTGGAAGGATGCATCTGCTTCTGCCCTTGGGAACTCCTGAATCACTGACTAATTAAATTTGAAACTTAGTCAATCTCACTCCACCTATATATGTATGGGTTGGTGTATGATAGTGTGGTTATCTTGTCCCTGTATAATCCATCTGAAACTTTTTTTGGGATCTGACACTGCAAACTATTTTCTAACAATTGCAACCAACTTTTTTATTCTGATGAAGTTAAAGCAACTGGAGATAACTCTTTGTGAATTATCTAGCTTCAATTTTTCTCCGCTTATTGTCTCTTCCGTGGCTGATCTTTGGAATTTTTAGTTTTCACTCACATTTGCCTCAGAAAGAGAATAAGATGGAGAAACTGAAGTCTCTTTTACTGTTTGTTATAAACTCTTAACATCTATGTTATGGGGAAGTAGCTTCAAACAGAAGAATGCATTATTTGAGGATTGTTAATGAATTATATTTATGTCCTCAGTTATTAAGAGTAATTTAATTATGGTCTCTGATTCGTTATGTTTATGTATCCTATTTGTAAATGCAATCCAAATGGATTTTCTCATTTAATTACTGAATATTTCTAACAACTTTTCACAATGGTTAGTTGAATTCAGTGAATAAAGTGTTGCTAAAACTAGTTAAAATATTGATGTTATTTTTCTATAATCAAAGCAATAAACCATTATGTATGTTAGATATTTTAGGACTTTTATGTTAAAAAGCATTGTTTTCTTTCTTATTTATTAATGGAGAATACCAAGAAAGTTTTTAATGAAGCTGGACTTAATTTTTTCATTTGAGGAAGCTTCTAACATCTCCAGAATAACATTTGAAACTCTCATTCGTATTTCTACATAAAATATTTCTGCATATTCCTTGTTGTCTAGGTTATTTTATGGACTGCAGCTATTCGAAAATAAGAGGCTGGAAGTCACTTGCTCTTGCTAAACAACTGTTTTGCCTCATGGCCTTGAGAATGTCCCTAGGCAGCTTAAGCTGCAAATTCACTGCTGGTACTTTGGGAGCCTTCTGTAGGCCACAGGACTCCAAACTGCATGAAACCTCCTGACCTGAAGTTCGAAAGGAATCTGGAGACTCATAGAGCAGCCATGACACACTAGAATTTAAGAGGGGCCTTTTGAAAGGTCCTAGTCTAATTGAAATCAGTGCCGTGAGGGGCTAGAGAAATCAGCTGAGCTCATGGGAGACAGGTGCCTTGTTTCTACATGCATCATTGGAGTGAGTGAAGATGGTTAATATGGCAAAACAATAGTAAACATGGGTGTTGGCGACTGAGAAAATGAGCTACAAAAACTAGAAGAGCAAGGCTGCTTTAGAAGGTGGATGGGGAAGGCAAAAGATCTAGAATCTCTTGGATTCAGGCCATCCATGGGCAGCTGAGAGTTCTGACACGTTCAACGGCAGGTGTTTGGGCCTAAAGTGAGGTGGGGCTCATCAACATCACTGCAGATGGAAGGTGAGCAAGCTGATCAGTTTTAAGCCTGGATCATGAGTTGCAGGCAGACAGCCTGGGGCAGGGGCTGCATGGGCCAGGAGCTTCACAAGGACCTCTTTATGAGAAGTTACTGGCTTTTATTCCTGTAAGTAATTTGATACATATTTGGAGAGAGAGGAAGAAAGTGAGTGTATTGGAAAGTAAGGAAGCTGGATCATGGCCATCCCTCCCCTAGTAAAATTAGAAAAAGCCGCCAGTCACTTTAATTTTAACCAAAGCCTGTGATTTCTTTCTGGTGTGACTGAAAAAACTGGGGGTTACTTGTGGTTTATTATTTTATCTTTCCAAATAGAGGACAAAAAGTGCATTTAAAATGTTTTAAAACTGACCAATTAAAATGCCTCATTCAAGTAAGTAATGGTTTGAAAAAGAAAGTACTACCTCAAGGAAGAAAATATCCATATCTCATTGGAAGATGTTTGTTTTATGTTTCTAATTGCTCATCCAACAAATATTCATTGCTACTTCTCATAAGGAAGATGTTATCCAAACTTAGCAGTGGATGGACAAAGCCTCAAAGAGCTTTATCTGTCCCTAGCACAATGACCAGAAAGGGATTCCTTTAAAATGTCAGACGAGGCTCTTCCCTGCTCGAATCCTGCCAGTCTCACTCTCCACATTCTATTTCCTCTGCTGGATCACTGTTCCCTCAGATATTCTGGCTCATTTCCCCACAACCTTTAGGAAGTCCCTCTCTGGCCACCCTATTTAAAATTATGATGCCCACCCCAACATGCACAAAGGCCCTTCCCTTATGTTTCTCATTCCTCAACACATTCTGTTTCACTCTACAATTTCCTTATTTATTTATTGTCTGTCTTCCTCCACTATAGTGTAAACTCCATGAGGGGAGGGCAGGAATTTTTCCCTCAACGTTTTATTATGAAAATTTTCAAGCATATAGAAAAGTTGGAAGAACTTTGCAATGAACACCCATATACCTATCACCTATGTTCTGTAATTAACATTTTACTATATTTGCCTTATTAAATAGCTGTTTATTCCTCTATTCAGTCATCAGTCTATCTTATTTTTTATGCATTTTGAAGTTGAAAACCAGTATATTTCCCTTCTAATATTTCAGTGTGCATATCACTAACTAGACTTAAATACTTATCTTTTTATCTTTTTTACATGAACGTGCTTATGCACAAATTTATAAGACTTTGGCAGATGCTTTCCCAAACCTCTATCAAGATATGGAGCACTGCCACCACCCCCAAAAATGTTCTCATGTCCCTTCCCTGTAAGGTTGCTGGAATTCACAAATAAAAATATAGGATACCATGGTAAATATGAATGTTAGCAAACAACAGATGCCTTTTTATATAATAATGTCATAAATATTGCATGGGACACATTTGTACTAAAAAATTCTTTGTTTATCTGAAATTCAAAATTCATCTGGCAACCCTGCTTTCTGGTGAATTTCATGCTGCCCCTTCACCCCCAACAAGCAACCTTTTTTCTGATTTTTTTTTTTCCCACGGTAGATTTTGCCTGTTTGAGAACTTCCTGTGAAAGGAATCATACAGTATGTATTCTTTTCTGCAAGGCTTTTTTTTCCACTTAGTATAATAATGGTTTCAAGATTCATCCATATTGTTGCATATATCATGAGTTTGTTACTGAATATCCTTTTTGTTACTGAATAGTATTCCATCATATAACTGTAATACACTTTGTTCATTCATTCTCCAACTTCGGCTTGTCCAATTTTTGTTTAATATGAATAAGCTGCCATGAACCAAAACATACATAGAAACATTTGTTGGGTGCCAGTTATGTTCTAGACAACTCCTTGACATGCCTCATAAGGACTTTGTGATTTAGCTTTTTTTTTTTTTTTTTTTTAACCTCTTACCTCGTCTTACCTCTTGCCACTTATTACTTAAGCTCAATTTTCTCCAACTGTCTTCCTTTAATTGCTCTGAAGCTCCCATGCTGTCCCCACCTGGGGTTTTCTATGCAGTTCCCTCTAATTGGAACATGGTTTCTCCCTTATGGTTCCTGGCACATTTTGCTTAGGTTCCTGTATTTACCACAGTGGAACCAGAAGCAAGTTTCCTCACTTCTCAGGGCCTCTATCAGTGACCTCTCTACCTGTAACATAAAAAGAAATAGTCCCTTCTCAGGGGGTTATTATAAAGATTAAATGAATCAATTTATGAAAAGCACATGGACTGACATCATAGTACATGTTCAGTCAACGTTTGTAATAGATGTCATGGAAGACCTTGAATTTCTAGAAGCTTATGCTTTGCATATGCTTAATACTACAGAACAGAGAATGGCAAAAGGTGATGACAACAGTGTGGAAGGTAAGAGGGTACAAGCAAGCAAGGAGAAAAAAGACCACATTGAGTTTATACAACTAGTCTGCATGAGTACACTAAATGACAGTTGAGATTACAGCAGTGGGAACTGAACATGAAATAGATTTAGAAGACCTTTATCTTAGAGACAAAATCAACTTACTATACATTAAAGAGCAAAGGAGAGGGTAGAGACGGATAGCTTGGAGCTTTCCATCTTATCTGGGTCTTATCTGGGTATTTGCAAGAATGTAGTCTGGGCATGGTGGCTCATGCTTGTAATCCCAGGGAGGTGGGTGGATCACGAGGTCAGAATTTCAAGACCAGCTTGGGCAACACAGTGAAACTCCGTCTCTACTAAAATACAAAAACTTATCTGGGCATGGTGGCAGATGCTTGTAATCCCAGCTACTCAGGAGGCTGAGGCAGGAGAATCTCTTGAACCTGGGAGGCAGAGGTTGCAGTGAGCCAAGATTGTGCTACTGCACTCCAGCCTGGGCAACAGAGCGAGACTCCATCTACAAAAAAAAAAAGAAAGAATGCGAGTGCCAAGTAGCAAGGTAAGAGATTTGGAAAGGGGGTCTGGATGTGATGGGAAAGGATGACTTTGATTTTATGATAGACATGAGAAATTAAGGATGCTAACTGTACATTAGTGGAAATGCTCAGCAGGCCATTGGAAAGAAAAATATAAGCAAAGGCATGCATTCTGATGAGGAATGAATTAAATCCTTATATCATCAGATGACTATGATTTCATTGCGGTGCCTCTACAAATTTAATTCTTTTAGACTAGTCTTACATGGGGTTTTAACAAATGAATAATTATTTCCTTAGATGTTGTAGTTCCAGATAGCAAAGACAGAGGGACATGGATAGAAGGTTCTTGTAATGGGGAGAAGGCCAAAATCACATATGGGGAAGCTGTTGAAAGTCAGAAGGAACACTCTTAGAAGGGGACCGACCACTTAATAAGGTATGACTGTGTCAGCGATGAAATGCTTTTCTTTTCTTTTTTTTTTTCCTCCTGAAGGATTAAGAGTCTGGCACTTTGAATCACTGCATTCCAATTTGCAGCTAAGGGTTGATTATTTTAAATCCTAAAACTGTAAAGAAAAAAATAGAGCCAGTAGGTTTGGTTTCTGATCTCCAGGCAAGAGGCAAATGCTGTATGACACAGGGAACTCTGTGTGTGTGTGTGTGTGTGTGTGTGTGTGTGCACGCGCGCACACACGCACATTTGTGAGCATTGTCTTTCTTCCCTGTTTTGATTCTTTACTACTGCTAGGCAGGAACTGGAGGTCAGGGAATTAGCTGACATTACTACAATGGCTTTCCTTTGAAATAATAAGAACTTCATAGTTACAGCGATGGGTCTTCATGTCATTTTTTAGAAAAGTAGGTATATGAAATCTTCATCTATTATATTGTATAATGTTGGTAGTGTGTAATATAACAAAAACTACCCAAGATTTTCAACCTGACAAGTTCTTCTAGGACCAGAATGACTCATTAAGAAAAACAAAATGAATCTGAAATTAAGTTGTTTCTCTGAATGTATTTTTCAAGTACATATGCAATAAATAAAGGGTTACTTTCCTGATAGAAACTTTCATGGAACTAAATTCTTTCAATGTAAGCATTTTCAGATTTCTAACCAAATAAATTTATTTCTAACCAAAATATGCTATTTTTTATTTCCCTACATATAGAATCTGTATTGTCAGAATGATAATTCTGATACATTATGTTTTTTAGAGGAATATTTAGAGAAACTGAGAGAATCTGTGATGAAATGATACCAGGTATTTTACTGATGATTCCAAACTTCACTTTTCATGAAAAGGATAATTTATTGTTAAAAACAAAAAAAGTCCTTTTCCACTACACTGTACTATGTTCCTTACAATATTAAGGATATTCCTTTTTGCATTTTACCAGTAGATTTTCCAGGGCACGTTACCCATAACCAGTTTTTTGGGTTAAACATGTCTTGCTTCTTTCAGAAGCACCTAAGAAAATCCCATTGGTTTGATTTGGGGAAATCAGAGTGCCAGGATGCTTGAATAGGTGACAAGGAGTGGGGAGACCTAGTGATGCTGTTTTCAGGCATTCTAAATTGGCCTATTTCATGGAGCTAGTATTTGTGGACAGACATCCAGAAGGCTAAAAGCATTATATAGAAGAATCAGACACTGCCTATGCCTAACATGCTTCTAATATACCTCTATGAAGCTTCAATCTAAACAAAATGTTGACTTTACTAGGGGAAAAACATTTAGAGAACACAGATGATTGAATGAGTTGATCTCTTGGGGCTCCTGTGATTTCAAGAAAGGCTATGCATTTTTGAAAGCTGGTGATTACTGACAAATTAAGGTTTGACAATTCTAGCCAAGAATGTGCTTAATGTTCATTGGGAGTACTGAATTATATTGGGAATACTTCCAAGTTCGTGGAGAATGCCTTCGGTTTTAAAGATGCTTCCACAGTCTTGCCTGATTGTATTTAAATTTGCTTTTTGATATTATCCTGGTGAGACCCTAATGAAAAACCCTCAAACAGAGGAAAATTTATTTCAGCCTAATAAGATTCATCAGATTGATCCTTTCAATAAGGCAAAGCAGGCTAAGTGCAGAAGAGAAGAGGAAACATTAGGAGAAAAAGGAGGGAAGCAGGCCACTGAAGAACAGTAGACAGCTTTCCCCTTAGAAAATATGGCAGAGAGGCCCGGCGCTGTGGCTCATGCCTGTAATCCCAGCACTCTGGGAGGCCAAGGCAGGCAGATCACCTCAGGTCAGGAGTTCGAGACCAGCCTGGCCAACATGGCAAAACCCCATGTCTACTAAAAATACAAAAATTATCTGGGCATGGTGGAACATGCCTGTAATCCCAGCTACTCAGGAGGCTGAGACAGGAGAATCACTTGAACCCAGGAAGTGGGGGTTGTAGTGAGTGAAGATCCCATCACTGCACTCCAGCCTGGGCAACAGAACAAGACTCTGTCTCAAAAAAAATAAAAAAAAAAAAAGAAAAGAAAAGAAAGAAGAGAAAGAGAAGATAGTGAAAGAAAAAAAATGTGGGAAAGGGGCGTGGAACCCAAAATCTCACCTTTCTGGCAAATATGTTCCTCAAAGCTGAAACGATAAAGCAACTTGTCCCAAACCACACCTAAAACTCTCACCTACTTCTGTACAGTTCAGTGTTTTATTTTCAGTCCACCTATGCTTTGGTCATAAAGTCCTCCAGAAAGCCAGAATTGCTACCAATCTTTTGAGCTCCCTTGTTGCTACAGACATACTACTTTTTAAACATGTGAATGAGTTACTGTCCTCCAGCCCCTGGAACAGCCTTCCATTCTCTTTAGCGCCTTTACTCTGTCCCTGGGCTCTTCGCTTCTCCAAAAATTTAAGGAAGATATTCTAATCTAGGTTTCCAGAAACATAAGCTTATTTCAAATTGATCAGGGGCAGATGTAGAAAACGGAAACAAGAAGAATAGACTTAATACAGGTTTATGTGAATCTTGAGATCATTTTCCTATTTAGTTTAATTTATTTTTAACTAGCATAATCCTCAATTTTCTGAAAAGTTCTTGTATCTGTTTTTTCATGCCGTTCAATGGATGACTACCATCTTTCTGGGTGTGAAATGTTGTTTAGGAATATATTTTGGAGCTCACGAGTTCTATAACTTAATTGGCTTTAAGCAAGTCTATTGGACATATCACAAACTTTTCTTCTTAATTCTGCTCAAAATGTTAAAGCTGTTATTTTTCAGGGTGGCCACTAACCCCTCCATTAATTAGTGCATTAGGAAGTTCTTCCAGGTCTCTTAAGAAGTAGAGTAGTTGCCTACCATTTAGCCATTACTAAAGCAATGACACGTAGTCATTGTTACTGCATGCATTAAAATGGGGTGGCCCTCTGTTTTTTGTTTTTTTTTGTTGTTGTTGTTGTTTTGATGAAAGTGGAGCAGAAACTTGGCAGTGAAAGACACCTGTCTTTGCCTTCTTTTCAGCTTCATAAAATATTTGCTTCATTCTCAAGTCCCATCAAGGGATTCAGATATTAAACGTTGAAGTATTTGATGCTGTTAAATAAAACAGCCAAACCAGAATGAAAACGCTATATTTTTTGCAAATGGAAATATTGAAAACAATCTTGTCATTCAGTGAATAGGCTCCTCATTGTTGCTAAACAGTCTTCCTTCCTTCCTCCCCTTCCCTTCCCTTCCCTTCCCTTCCCTTCCCTTCCCTTCCCTTCTCTTCCTTCCCTTCCTTCCTTTGCTTTCTCTCTTTCTCTCTTTCCTTCCTCCCTTCCTCCCTCCTTCCTTCTTTCTCTCTCTCTTCCCTCCCTTTCTCTCTCTCCCTCCCTCTCTCTCTTCCTCCTTCCCTCTCTTTTTCTCTCTCTCCTTCTCTCCCTCTCCCCTCCCTCCCTCTCTCTTTCTCTCCCTCTCTTCTTCTCTCTCTCCTTCCCTTTCCCCTTTGCCCTCCCTCCCTTTCTCCTTTCTTCCTTCTCTGTCTCTTTCTTCTCTTTCTTTTTCTTTCTTTCCTTCTTTTTGAGATACCGTTTTCCTCTGTCACTCAAGCTGTAGTGCAGTGGTGTGATTTTGGCTCACTGCAAACCTCTGCTCCTGGGCTCAAGTTATCATTCCACCTCAACCTCCTGACTAGCTGAGACTGCAGGTGTGAGCCACCATGCCAGGTTAATATTTATTTTTGTTTTATTCTTTTGTAGAAACTGGGTTTGCCATAATGCCCAGGTCTCGAGTGATCCCTTCACCTCAGCCTCCCAAAGTGCTGGAATTACTGGTGTGAGCCACCATGCCCAGTCCAAGTGCCTGGAATTTCTGTAACATAGAATTATGTCTAAGCTCTATTCATTGAGGGCTTAAAAATAAACAGCAAGAGGAAAAGGAGAACTAGAGGAGATGGAAATAAATATTAGTGGAGGTACATTCTCACTCATATTTAGGACTGACTTTAAGGAATCTGGCATGCAGTTTCTAATAAATTATCCATGTTCATATCTTTACTCATTCCTATGAACAGGAAAAGAGAAAATTAGAATTCCCACCAGTCTAGGGATATTGTGAAACAGTGTCAGCTATGAAATATTTATGAGAGATTTTGGGTAAAGGGGAGTCTGGGGGAAGAAAAAACTTTGAAAGGTCTGGGAGCCACAGAAATATTTGGTAATTGAAAATTATTGCCTGGGTCTTAAAAAAATATACCTAAAAAAGGTTGGTTCTTTAAAAGGACTGATTTCAAACTGATGTTTAAAATATATGTATTTCTCACAAACTCAGGAAATACTCCCAACAGTCATTGATAAATAACTCTTGAGGCATATCTGAGTTGATATATTACCAGTTTTAATGCCAAGTTTACTTAATTTAACCATCTTTTGACCATTAGGCCATGGGATTCTAGTTTGTGACTTCTATAATATTCTCATATAACAAATAGATTAAATGGGGGCAGAGTGAAATCTCCCCTAAAAGCCACTTGGGATCTTAACTTAATTTTTCTTGACATTTCTGGAAGTGAACAAAAATTGCCCTATTCATTACTTTCTGAAAATTTTACTTACATGCATAACTTTAGGAACTATAAATCTCTCATCTCTTTCAAAAGCCCTCGAGACAGAAGCTACATAATATATCTGGAATAGACACTGGTCCCCAATTAATACAGAAACAAAAATTGTAACCAAATATTTATATCTTAATTTGTGTTTGGGGAAAATTTCTTTTCCAAAAGAAAAGCACAGAAATTCTTAACTGCATGAGAAAGAAAACAGAAACCTCTAACCTAAATAGAATGAAAAGCAATTTGAAGCTGGTAATTGAGAAAGCCTCAAGCTTCATATTTCCAGCTTTGTTCACTTTTCTTCCCCTTCTGCCAAAGTTCTCAGGGAATAATAGAATTAGGAGAAGTCCCAGGAAGTCCAAAGTCCATCTGAGTAATTTCATAATTAAACCCTCCTGGTATGCTTCTTTAATAGTGGTAGGTAAGGACAGAAGATACCCAATGCCCCATGTTGTAGAGTGTGCATCATTTTAATGAGACAAAATGAGATGAGTTGATGTAATAGGTTATGGAAAATAATATGATCAACATTCATCACTGATATAAATTCAATAACTTCCGTGCAGATAGAAACGTCACAAGTTTTATCCAGGTGTTCTTAATTGTTCGTTATTGACTTCACAGCCACTAGATGACACTGTTGCTTTAAGAGTTAGTGCAAGAAGGGCCATTTAAATGTGAGTGTCCAACTTACTAGTTCTGAAACCCAACTAATACTGATTGTCAGTATTATTACAAATAGTTCTGATGTTACTATTTACTACATAAAATTTACATATATGCAGAATAAAACAAACAACTACAGCCTCTCCTCCCAATGCCATTCCTCACCACACCAGTGTCTACTATTTACCATTGCTTACTCTGTGACAATCTTTGTGCTTTGTTCTTTGGGTAAATTATTTCATTTAATCCTTCTGTCAACCAAACTTGCAAAAGAATACAAAGCTAAGTAGCAGAACTGGAATTCAAACCCCATTTGACCATTACTACTACCTGCTTTCATTGACAGATGTGCTCCCTGGTAACACGGCAAGCTGGTGGCCAGGGGTAGAGCTCTGTTATGGTATTCCCAATCCAATTCACTACACCAAAATCTGCAGGATGCCCTTTAAATCTGTGTGTCTGATGAATGACTTTTTTGCTGTATGTCTCATGCAAAACTGTGAATTTCAGATGAACAATAACATCATTTATTCTGTAAGTATATTCCAAATATTGTGTGGGACATAGTTACACTAAAATTTTTTCTTGTGTATCTGAAATTCAAATTTAACTAGGTGACCTATATTTTTATTTGCTAAATCTGGCAATGCTAAACTATTACTTCAATTAAGTTGGGGCAGTTTAACAAAACAACTCAATTTCTTTTCTCTCTCTCTGAGATTCTCTCCTTTCTCGATACTTCTCCCTGAGGAATATATGTTTGTCTTTTTAAAGGATGCTCTTTTAATTGGTACCCTTTATCCCTTTACTTCTTGCCTCTTTCCAGCCTTGCTCCATTTGACGTCATCCTGCCTGCCTCATTTTCACTCTTTTTGTCTCTACCATGTCTTTTCATCCTCTATAAACATGATTAGATATTTCTACCTTTAAAAACCTCAAGCTTTCTCTGTACCCTGTTTGATTATACTTCTTGAAAGCATATCCCCTGTTTCCTTATCACTCATTCAGTCTTCAACTGCAATCTGGTTTCTGCACCCAACATTATAATAAAGCTCCTCTTCCAAAGGTCACTCAGCAACTTTCTAATAGCTAAATCCCATGCTCTTCTAAGCCCTCGTTTTCCTTTGTTTTCTCTGTATTTGATGTTTTTCCATCCTTAATTCCATACTTCACTCTATTGGTATTATTTCCTAGGGTTTAATCTTCACCTTATTATGGTGAATTCCAAGATTCTCATTCTCGTCTCTCTTGTAATAGTGTTAATAGTATCACCATATATGTAGTCACATGAAAACATTCCTCTTTGACATTTTTGGGCCCCCAAATTTTTGCTATGTTGCTTTTACCACTGCTACATTCTTGAATCTATCCATTTGATTTTCAATCTAATTACATTATCAGCAAAAATAAGAGGCATCTGTAAAGGAATTAAAAATTCATAGGAGAGACATTAAATTCCCTTTCTTTTTCTATTTCACTTTTCTTATCTGATGATCATCCTGGGGCTGGAAGAAATAAAAGGCATATTCCTGGGTGGTATTCTTTATTTTCTTCACTATGGATAAGTTGATGAGCTCTCTGTCTTCTACTGGTTGCCATTTGACAGTGCTCATGAGAATGGAGGTGGGATATGAAAATAACCTTTATTCTGTGGCCAAAGTGGCTCATCAGGTTCAGAGATTGCTTTATTAATGTATATGACATAGTCACTTCTGTTACATTCACTTTTTTGTTCACTATCTACACAAGATTTGATTAGAATGTGGGAAAGCTCATTCATACAATTTGCCTTATTACTAACATTAAGAATACATTCCAGAAGGGCAGTTTAGACCTGGAACTTTTATGTCTTTGCTCCTTGGTTTTAAAGACTTCCACAATCCCAGTTAAGTATCTTGAAGTGTATCTCTCCCTCAAGGAAGATCTTAGAACTCTTAGGTGTTTCTTGGGTATAGAAAATGTGTCAAAAAAATCTGATCATCCTGCATAATTTTTAAAGCAACCTATTGAGAGAGTGACTACAAATAATAAGAACATTTATAGGGTAGAAAACTTTGGATATATATATTAAATTAGATTTTATTTTAAACACAAGTTAGTAGAAGACCCATAAAAATAATTCCTTCTTTATGGACATCTAAAAGGATTGATAGGCATAAGTACTATGTACTACTAAGCATATTTATTACTTCTTATTTTGGCCCTAGTTTTAAGAGCAATAAAATCTTGTTTTTATAGATTATACCCGGAGTCAGTTTGTTTAAAATGATATATAGATGAAAATATGAGAAAATATTTATGCTAGCTCTCATAAGGAATGGCCTTAGACTAAAAATTCCTAGAGCAGTAATGATAGATTCACACTATGTTGTGGTTACATCTGCTAATGCCTGTGGCAGGTATGGGTCTATGCAAACTTTCTCACTGAACATAATGCTTCAGAATTATTCTCAACTCTGCATTTCAGTATTTTAATTCAAGAACTAATTCATCTGTGTTGACAAGGATGGATTTTGAGTTGTTTTTCTTTATATAGATATATATGTATATGTATATGTATTTTATTGCATTTTAGGTACCGGGGCACATGTGAAGAACATACAGGATTGTTGCATAGGTACATACATGGCAATGTGGTTTGCTGCCTTCCTCCCCATCACCTATAGCTGGCATTTCTCCCCATGTTAGCCCTCCCCAACCCCCAACCACTCACTGTCCTCCCCTAGTTCCCCCTGACAGACCTCAATGTGTGATACTCCCCTCCCTGTGTCCATGTGTTCTCATTGTTCAACGCCCGCCTATGAATGAGAACATGTGGTGTTTGATTTTCTGTTCTTGTGTCAGTTTGCTGGAATGACGGTTTCCAGATTCATCCATGTCCCTGCAAAGGACACAAACTCATCGTTTTTTATGGCTGCATAGTATCCCATGGTGTATGTGTGCCACATTTTCCCTGTCCAGTTTATCATCACTGGGCATTTGGTTGA